TTAAAATGCGTTAATTTTTGTGTAATTAATTAATCTTAATTAACGCGTTAAAGTCCCGGCCCTAATATATATATATATATATTTCTATTAATCATTTTCGGCATTCGTTTTTCGGCCAACTGTTTCCTATTTTCGGTATCGGTTTCGGCCAAGGATTTCCCATTCGGTGCACCCCTAATAAAAAGCAATGCTCGTTTTGTTCACAATTTGTTTATTTTCATTTAATCGTTTATTTGAATAGGGACAATGCACATTAATGAACACTTTAGACAAATAATGCTTCAAGTTTAAATCTGCCGGATTTTAGTTTTGAGCTCATTTCCATCCGTATATTATTTTTTAATATTCTTTGCGGAATTTGGCCGTGTAAAATGTCCTCTTGGTTTGCTGTACAGCCAATGCGTGACGTCATTAGTGCTGATCTGGTAGGCAGTGCACATCTGGTACCTACACCTGACATACAGCATATAGTTATGTCTCCAAAAGTACCGTTAAAAGACTGGACCGATAAGCGGTATCGATAAAAGTAGTAGTACCGTTAAAACCTTATCGATTTTCCTTATCGCACATTCTCCAAAAAAAAGAAACGCTTCCTCTGACTGTTGTGAAACTCTGCATTCTCACCTGTATGTGTGTTTAGAGAACGGATAATCTGCCAAGAGCTACATTCTTCACAAGCTTGTCCAATAAGCAGTGGTGATTGGTTTTAAATGATTCATTTTCTATAAATCTCTCTCCAGTGGTACCCCACATCACGGATGCCATCCAGGAGTGGGTGATGAAGCAGGCCAAGATCTCAGTCGATGATGACGGAGTGGAGCCACAAGTTTGTGTCATTGAGGTACGTTGGTCTTGTAGGTCATTTTCTCTGTTTTGGTGAAGTGAACATTTTATAAATTGACAAACTGGAAATTGCATATAAAGTCAACAGTGTTATACTTCAACATTTCACGGGCCACACGCAATTATTTGTTACCTTTTTTTAATAGTGGTATTTAAGGGAAATAAAGATTTAATATCAGAAAGGAAACCAAGCATGTTGGCCAAAGCACTGGAACATATTGGTACCATTCAGCAAACAGAGAAAATCGCTGAATTCACACAAATCGATCTGCCAGTGAAGCAGAAAAACAAGCTTTATTTTCACTGAAAAACCAAGGGGTTTAGAAATTGATTTGTTGAGGAGAGTGTCAAACTTTACTTCTGTTTGCCCAGCCTTTATCGGCAATGGGAAATGGTGTACTAAATAGTAAAACATGGTGTTATTCATTAAAAAGTTTGTTTAAAAACATGTACTGCAAAAGTATATCATCTTTGGTACATGTGCCGCTGAAACTACTCAACTCTTCATAAACAAAGCAGAATTATTCCCCTGTCTCCAACAGTTCTTTCCTCATGGCATGAATCAAAGCCTGTTTGACAGTTGAATGTGCTCAGTACAGCGGTTTTCATTTTGTACTCTCCAGGGTGTGTTGGTTATGCGAGATGCTGAGGAACACCTGTGTGTTGGTGCATGCAGTTCTTTGCGCTGAGCAGGTGTTTCTGTGTTTTACAGCTGGGAGGCACGGTGGGGGACATCGAGAGTATGCCCTTCATCGAGGCCTTCAGACAGTTCCAGTTCAAAGTGAAGAGGGAGAACTTCTGCAACATCCACGTCAGCTTGATACCACAGGTACTGCACACCGGCGAACGCATGTGTCCGATCTCGTTGTTTGTCACACATTCGTGCAAACATTCGAGCTGAGTTTGCTTTTGTGTCCTCAGCCCAATACCACAGGAGAGCAGAAAACCAAACCGACCCAGAACAGTGTCCGAGAGCTCAGAGGCCTGGGCTTGTCTCCAGATTTAGTGAGTCGGTTTAAAATATGTTTTTTTAATTTGGCACCCCCACTGCACCCCATATACAACAGAGCAGGCGCCCACTTTCCCTGTGTGGAGAAATCTATATCCAATAATTACATACTCATCTCACAGCAATCTAAATCATATCAGACATCACATTTACAAGTGTGTTTTTATATTGGAACCTTTGAGGGCCATACCATTATTTTTTTTACATTATAATAAAAATGCATTGATTTGTTTCAGATTATGTGCCGCTGTTCAACACCCCTAGAAACGTCTGTCAAGGAGAAGATCTCCATGTTCTGTCATGTGGAGCCCTCGCAGGTAAAGGACTTCAGAACGTGCGTCGATGTGAAACCCAAGCTGCTTACATTAGTTCTGAACCAATCCAATTCATCTGAAGGTGTGGTATTGTATTTTCTAACACAAGTTGTGTCATTGTTTCCAGGTGATCTGTGTCCATGACGTCTCCTCGCTCTACAAAGTGCCGCTGCTGCTGGAGGACCAAGGAGTGGTGAGCTACTTCTGTCAGAGGCTGAGTCTCCCCATCGAGATGAGGCCCAGGAAGATGCTCACAAAGTGGAAGGAGATGGCTGACAGGTGAGGACGTTGGTTCTTCATACAACTTTAATTTTGCCCGGGGTTCTAAAAAAGACATTGTGTTTTTGAGTCTGTAAAGTAAATAAATGATCCACTCGTTCGGTACTGTGAACAATTTTCCTATTTTGGCAGAACTGCCCGTCTCCTGGAGCCAGTCTCCATAGCTCTGGTGGGGAAATACACTAAATTAGCTGACTCCTACACGTCCGTTATCAAGGCCTTGGAGCACTCTGCCCTCGCTGTGAATCACAAACTAGAAGTCAAGGTATCGAAACGTCTCACATTTTGTATGTTTTGTATATTTCACTTTTGCAACAATGCTGTGCATTTTATGTTGAATGGTGTCTCTTTAGAAAGTAGCTAAATGCCTAGCGTGTGCTCACAGTATTCAGCCTGTTGGCCATGATGTTGACTTGTCCCCTTGCAAATGATGCTTTTTGTCATTTGTATTTTCATTCTGACAGTACATAGACTCTGCTGACCTGGAGGCTGCCACTCAGCAAGATGAGCCTGTGAAATATCATGAAGCCTGGCAGAAACTCTGCAGCTCTCAGTGAGTACGATATGAAGATAATCAGATTTACACCCGGCTGATACAAGGTTTATTACGTATGCCACATGATGGCAGCAGAGTCCTGTCATACCAATGGGTTTATATCCTCTCACAACATGGGATGCATTTGTTTTACAGAAGCCCGGCATGTAGCCTAATCAAATTATGAGCCATTATGTATAGACACATAGTTTCTCACAAAGTCTTGCGAATATAAAACACGAATGCTATATCAACGTGTTACACCTTTGTTGAGCTGACTAAGTGGAAGACTGATAAAGTAGCTCCCCAGTATTTCACTCCTAGACTACAGGTGTTTAAAATGTTTAATGTTTGCCTGCAATGTAATCTGGACTATTATGAAATGAACTGAGGCT